GACTGCTCAGCTTCTCTTGTTGTAGAGAGTGTTGATGTCTCCTCTACGCCCCTTGCCTGTTTCCCTGAAGACGATAGCAATCCTGCACAGCATGCCTAGGCTTTGAACAATGCAAGCATACGAGCAATTTGGACCTTCTTTCCCATTCTTTTTGGCTGATGTGGAGGGTTTCCCAAGGCTTGGTAGAAGCGTCCTCCGGTTTCTCAAGGATCTTAGCATTTTTGGGAAGGTGTAAGACTGTTCCCTTACCCGAACCACGATTAGGCCCCTTATTTGAAGCAGTATTTCTAAATGCATTAAGTTTTTAATCATCATTTCGGTCACACTCAATGGCTGATGTGGAACAACCCGTATCGGAGTCCGGCTCTAGATCGTCATCTAGAGGCAGATCATCCGCATAGGACTGATCGTCAGCCTCCCGATGATCATGCAGTGCAAGCTGGTTGTTGCCTCCAAACCGCTTGCGTTGTGGTTTTCCACCTGCAGCGGCGCCTTCTTGCGCCTGGCGAGGTCCTTGGCCTCTAGGTCGACTAGGTCCTTCATGAGCTCTCGCCAGGTAGCATGGTCCTTGAGTGCTAGCAGGGAGAGGTATTCTTTAGGGGCCACTCCCATGATTACATCCATGCAAGACACGTCAGTCATTCCTAGATCCGGAGTGGTGAATAGACTAGTCAGGTGTTGTTCCAAAGCTTGCATGGATGACCTCCATGTTTGGCCCTTGAGGGCCTCAAGCTTCAGTCTAGCCTTGAGCGCAGCATGTTTATCCTGATACCGGTCAAGGAGAAGATCCTCAAGGGTGCGAATTGGGGTGACCTTCAGCCAATCAGTCAGGTCTATGCGTGCATAGCCTGCAGCAACAGCTTGGAGCTCAATGTGGTTTCGTAAGGCAGACTCGGTATTAGTTCCCATGATCATACTTCGGTCCTCTTACGGTGTCCGCATGACCTCGAAGTATGACCGCATGGAACTAATCCAAGAGGTGATGTCAGCCTTCCTGTCGTACTTGGACGGCAGCGTGGCCGCCCGCTTGTCCACCATGGGACCGCTGTACTGAACGYCAGTAAGGACTGTGGCGTTTTGGGCTGAAGTCCCTGCATTTGGGACWGCGATCAGTGCAGAACTATCGGTGCTGCCGCTTGAGGAGCTTGCTCCGGTTCCTGCACTTACCGCAGTTCCGCTGGCCCTTGGAACGAGGGTTGTGTTGGGCTGAGAGGCTGGGATTACAGCAGATCGAGGGTTAGGAGGGCGGGAAGCAGACAACTGGGACTGTTCAAGGCTAATTACCTTAGCCGGCAGCTCTTCGTTCCGTTGCTCAAGTGCTGTCATACGAGACTCAAAGTCTTCCAAGGTCCGCAGTCGGACCAAGGCTGCTACAACAGCAGCTAGTTCCTCCCGGAACCGGTCAGCATTAGCTTCCGGGATCCGGAGGAGAGCCACCTGATCAACAATGTCGGCGGCTCTAGCTGCTGCCGCTGCCTCCCTTTCTCTCTGCACGGCATCATCATACAGTTTTTGAAAGAATGGTTTCTGACTCTCGTCCGCTGTATCCAGCATGGCCTGCCATAGGGCAGATGTGATGTTCGCCATGCCGGAGGAAGGGGTGTCAGTAGAACTCTCAAGAGGGGTCCGCTCTCTCCTGACGCTTGGACGAACACTCCTCTTGCCCCTTCTCACACTCTCAAATAGCACACCTTCTCTCTCCCTTTCCTCTCTTTTCGCTGTCTGCGCACGCGTCTCGATATCGGACATAGATAATTCAGATAGAAGAAACAAATAGGAAACCACTCAAAGAAGAAGGTAGAACTCCTGGCCGGAGCGGCGAATCATTTGGACTGAGAACGTGGCACGCAGCATAAGAATACATAAAAATAAATAAAACAAAACAACAGAGAGGTCTGATTTATAGAACGGGCCCGATCAGATCAGCTGGAGATCCCCTCGTGTCTAACCTGACAGGGGACATGTCAACACAATAAATCAGACGAAGAAGACTAATCTGCAGCAATGGAGATTTCGAGGGGTGCAGATGGTCGCCGAATCAGACGCGAGAGATCCCCTTGAAAGGAATGCCCTTGCTGTCCGTGTGTCCCCCCAGATGCAGCACAACAAAGAATGCACTGACGGCAACAGATTTGGGCCCAAAAGGTCCTGTCCCGTTGGGCCTGGTCCCACTGGGTCCCGAGTGGTCCCAAGTAGGCCGTGGACCAGGACCAACGTGATAGGGGTACCAAGTCGGTCCCAAACTGCCTCTACCGTGCTGAAAAGGAAAAGACAACTTTCAGCAAGAACTCGCTTCTACAGCCGTTCAGAAAAGAAARGACAATGCACCGTAGAAAGATATGTCATTTAGAGTAGATACATCATCCATCCATCCATCAGGTGAGAAAGCAATCCACAAGCTCACACACACAACCAAGACCGCAGAGAAGAGGAAGAGAACCCAGCACACCCCCAACAGGCCATGAAGCACCAAGCAACCTCCCACGGGCTTTCCCCGGACACTCGGCACTTACTTGTGAGGCCCGGCCTCCAAAGATGGATAACGAGTCACTCCCCTCCTCATATAAGTCCTCCTGACCCCTAGCTACCACTACACGAAGTGTCCTAGCATGACTAAGAGGGCCTTCCTACACCCTTATTGCAAAGCCGGATCCGCCGTCGATGCCTGAAGACCAAAGTAGCAACTTGCAGCAATCCGATGCAGATATGGCAGCCTCCGATCAAGTCTCCCTCTTGAGGGGAAGCCCAAAAGTCACTCAATGTCTTCCTGAAGTCCAGAATCCAGGTGCGAGTACCTCTCACTCTCTACTCCCTCTCGCTTACTCCAATCAGCCTCCTTTGTGTCTCGCCACCCCATACATTCACTCAAGCAACCTGGTTGGGTCCAATGTCGACCCTACATGACCTAACCAGGTGGGGGCAGCATCCCCATACCTCGCTGCCCCACTTAACCCTAACTTCCCAACCCTAATCCGAGATTAGGTCAGCCTTAACCTAACTCGGAATTAGGGTTAGGGTGACTAACACCTCTCGCCAGCAAGTAAGTCCGATCCGATACCAATTGTTACGATCCTGGTCATTTCCCAAGTGCAAATTCACAATGAAAGACAATGCCACCCAATTGCGAAAGAAATGAAAGCACTTGCAAGAGATAAAGACCAGAGGAGAGGTAAAGAAGAAGAAGAAGAAGAAGAAGTACACCAGCAAGACCAATGACAATTCCCCCTTCTCTCTCCACCTTCCTCCTTCCTCCTTCTCTTCACCAATCTTATTCTTCCCTCAACAATAATAATAACAATGAATGGATGAACCAGAATCAATGTCCGAAGTTCCCCCTTACTGCTGACTCAACTCACAACCCAACAACAGCAACAACAAGTCCACCATGGCTATGTCTTCCTTCCTTCAACCTCCTCTCTCAAGCATAGGTCATGGCGGACTACTGGGAGGCAGCTATGATGCTGCCCTGATGCCCGAAAGACAACTCAAAGCAGCTATGTCGCTGCTTGACTCGGTCCGCTATGCCTGACCCTGCCACTAGCTGCCCTGGTGCAGCGTTACCCCAACCGGGGCCTTCCAGATGCAGCGCCCAACAAGGTGATGAAGACGGTGTCCACCATAGCCAGGTAAGTGCCCTACCACTCTCCTACCATGTCCTCCTTCTTCCTCCTTCAAGCTGGGGTGCTCGYCATAGCCAGGCTGAGCCCCAGCAGACCTTCACCTCCAAGCAGCGCTGCTTCAGTCCAGCGCTGCGCTCCAGCAGCATGTCGCCAATCCTTGCATACCGCAAATGAGGAAGAGCTCACCGCTCTTCCTGAAGATATAGCGGCCTACCGGCCTCCTGGGCGGTGACTTCCTAGGCCAAGCGGCCTCCCAGCAATCGGTACCTCCTCCCTTTTGGAGGGAAACATCATTGCAGGCTCTGTTATTGTCCGCACAGGCCCTAGACCCGGGCTACTTGGACTGGTACCGGCCTACCTCTAACCTACC